AAGTAATTTAGAAACCTCAGCAATGTAAAGTCAAGCATTTTAGACACTTAGCTTACTACTATACTGGTCCTTTTTCAGATGAGTTGCTCTTGGTTGATGGCCGTGAAGCTCCACCTATCAGGGAGCCAGCACCAGAAGAGATGACTATCCCTACAATGAGAGAGATTGCTGAAGCCACAGTAAACCTCGCAAAACGCAACCACAACCGCGACCCAGATCCAATGAATCATTCGACTGATGTTAGTTTGGATTTTCTTTTATAACACCTTGGATCTGGGTGATGTGACTAACACATTCAATAATTAGCTTAGGGCCAGGTGACATGAACATGGAATCATGGAAAAATTTGAGGGCTGGGTTAATGGGAACATGGTGTCATATAAAATATTAGGTTAAGAGCTAGATGATGTGAACATGTTATGGTAAAATTTGGCTGAGAGCTGGGTAAACGTGAACATGATGTTACATAAAAATTTGAATGAGAGCCTGGTTGGCATGAAAAGCGTCATGTAAAAATTTAGCTGACAGCCGAGTGAGGTGAACATGGTATCATGGATAAATTTGGTTGAGGGCCAGGTTGACAAGAACATGCCATCATGAGAATTTTGGCAAAAGGCCAGGGAGACAGTAAAGATTTGCCATGAGTGCACAAGGCTCTTGGATGGCAATTAGGCTCATACTTTTGCATTATTTCTATTGGTTAAAGGGTGAAATGTAACATTTTGTGAGCCATGACTACGAGTGCTGGCTCTAGAGAGGACACTCTTTCAATGCCCAGGATCCTGTGCTGCCTGCAGTAACCGTTGACACAGGGTGTATCACAGAAAATTGAATATTATGAAAATATAAAGGAAATTACTCAAATAACAGAATGTTACTGATGTTTTGGCAGAGAATTATAGACTACCTAGAGAGATGATATAGAGTCTGTTCAAGGAAAACATTTTTACATCTTGATACATCAAATGACAAATATAGAACTTGGAAAATGGCAAAGCAAAAAATCCTTTTGTAGAAATAAAAGAAGATAAGTGCAGTGTCAAGACTCAGTGTCAAGTTATCTTCTTTTATTTCTACAAAAGGATTTTTTGCTTTGCCATTTTCCAAGTTCTATATTTGTCATTTGATGTATCAAGATGTAAAAATGTCTTGACACTGCACCTAAGTGCTTGTGTGCACTTGGCCTACAAGCTACACACCCAGGAGAGTCGCATATGAAATAAGCCTAAAACCCAGATTTAGGGCCATGTACGGGCACAGAAGCACTTGGATCCAATGTGTTAGATTTTTTTTATGGTTAACTGCCCCCCAATTCCTTGCCCGTTGTTGTCGTGGGAGGGCTTAAGAGACAGAGACTGAGATCCAATGCGGGAGATCTCCCCCGCCTTGGATCTCAGCCCTTGCCCCAACTAATTTTGCACGGTCTTTTTCTCCTTCTTCTTTCTCTCTCTTATCTTCCCCAACCCTTCCCCTATCAACCCCTAAGATGTAAGAGCCGTGTTGAAAGGATGAAAGGCTGACCTTGTGCCAGTCATGAACGGCCTCAGAGAGCCGTGGGCACGGTATTCCTTGATAAATCATTTGACCCTTACCCTTTACAGGGACTCTGAGGGGTGGACCGTTTACCTTCCCCACATAAAACCAGGCTTTCCATGGCCAGTAATGAAGATTTTGTACCCTTATTAGGGGCATTGAGGCTTGCCCTTTTATCATACAGCCTCTCTGAATCTGAAACCTCTAGTTTACCGACCCCTGACTAACCTTTGACCACGGCTCAGAACACTACTATTACACCACCCTCCTCTATACATACTACCAAC